AGGCTGGACAGGGCTTGGAGCAGCCTGGGACACTGAAGTGTCTCCCTGCCCTTGCCCAGGATGATCCTTGAGCTCCCTTCAGCCCAAAGAATTTGGGATTCCATGATCCCACACAGCTCCCAGTACAGATCCCCAGTAACCCCCAGCTTTTCCTTATCCCTGGAAGATTTCCCATTCCTTGGCAGCCCATGGCAGGGTGTGAAACAGCATCACCTTTAAGGTCCCTTCCATCCCAAACCATCCCAAAATTCCATAATTCCACACTCAGGCACATTTCCAGGATTTTTCCCAGCACCCAGGGAAATTTCCAGGATTTTTTACCAGCCGTGTCTCTGTGCAGATACCCGGGTTGGGAATTGCTTCCTGGACACGCAGGACCGAGGGGATGGGGGCATCTCCTGCAGCGCTGAGATCGGCGTGGGCGTCACCCGAGCCTCCTGCTGCTGCTCCCTGGGCCGAGCCTGGGGCAACCCCTGCGAGCTCTGTCCTCCAGCCAACACCAGTGAGAGGGGAAAGCCTGGGATGGGCACGGGCTGGGATGGAGGCAACGGGGCAGGGATGATTCCCAATGGATCCTCGAGCCACGCTGGAGGGGCTGAGTTCAGGATTTGAACAGAGCAGGGGTTAAGTGGGGTGGGGGAGGCCAGGCTGGTGTGGCCGGGAGATCCAGGTTGGGATCCTTCGTTCCCAGTGCAGGGGAGGGCAGGGAATGTGGAATTTCCACCTTGGAGGGAGGGCAGGTGATGGGATGGGAATGGAGCTGCTCCATCTGAGCCCTGGCCGCATCCTCGTGTCCTGCTGGGATTGTCCCCGTGTCCTGTTCCTCCCGGGATTGTCCCCGTGTCCTGTTCCTCCCGGGATTGTCCCCATGTCCTGTTCCTGCTGGGATTGTCCCCGTGTCCTGTTCCTCCTGGGATTGTCCCCATGTCCTGTTCCTCCTGGGATTGTCCCCGTGTCCTGTTCCTCCCGGGATTGTCCCCGTGTCCTGCTCCTCCTGGGGTTCTCCTGGCTCTCCCCACCCCTCCTGGCTCACTCAGCCCCCTCAGCCCTCCCTGCCTCTCTCCACAGCCGAGTACAAGACCTTGTGCCCTGGGGGAGAAGGGTTCCGGCCCAACCCCATCACTGTCATCCTGGAGGGTGAGTGACCCCAGTTCCCATGGCATGGGGTGCTGGGGGACACTGTGGGGACACTGTGGGGACACTGTGGGGACACTGTGGGGACACCGTGCCATGGCACTGGGCTGCTGGGTGCCTGCTGGACACAGAGTGTGACCGTGCTCCAGCCACAACCCAGAGCTGAGCTCTCTGGAGCTGTGGGGTGGCACAGGCAGTGAAAATGTCCCCCTGCTGTCCCTCCTCAGACATTGATGAGTGCCAGGAGCTGCCAGGGCTGTGCCAGGGCGGGAACTGCGTCAACACCTTCGGCAGCTTCCAGTGCGAGTGTCCCCTGGGCTACTACCTCAACGAGGACACCCGGATCTGTGAAGGTGCCAGGGGCTGGGACAGGGGGGTGGCATCGATCCAGGGACTGGGACAGGGGTTGAAACTGATTCAGGGGTTTGGACATGGGGTGGCACCGATCCAGGGTGGCACCCTGTATGTGTGCCAGAGCTGTGTGTGCATCCCAGCTGCCCCAGGAATGGTTGGGAGCATCCTTCCCCCTCCCCTGTCCCAGATTTCCTCATCACAAACCTGTCCCCGTGCCAAAGCCACCGTCCCTTGTGCCACCCGTGCCCGGTGCTCTGACTCCTTTCTCCCACAGATATCGACGAGTGCTCTGCCCACATCGGGATCTGTGGCCCTGGCACCTGCTACAACACCCTGGGCAACTACACCTGCGTGTGCCCCCCCGAGTACATGCAGGTCAACGGGGGCAACAACTGCATGGGTACGGCCCCAGAGCGTGGGGAGGGCTCCAGTGTGTGGGGAATGGCCCAGATCTGTGGGCAGGGGGCTGGCACTGCCACCCCAGAGGGGGCTGTGCCAAGGGGACAGAGCAGAAATGCTGGAAACGGGGCTGGGATTCAAAGCTGGATGTGGCACTCGGTGCTGTGACAGAGTGGGCATGGCTTGGGCTGGATCCTGGGGGCCTTTTCTCCATTCCCGGGGCTTCCAGTGCCATTCCCAGTGCTGCCAGTGCCATTCCCGGGCTGGCAGTGCCATTCCCAGGGCTGTCCCGAGCCTGGCACCGTTTTTGCAGACATGAGGAAAAGCGTTTGCTACCGCAACTACAACGACACGTGCGAGAACGAGCTGTCCTTCAACATGACCAAGAAGATGTGCTGCTGCTCCTACAACATTGGCAAAGCCTGGAACAAACCCTGCGAGCCCTGTCCCACCCCTGCCAGCCGTGAGTGGCCTCACAGTGTCCCTGTCCCACCTCTGAATGTCCTCACAGGGTCCCTGTCCCACCCCTGCCAGCCCCAAGTCCTTCCCACGTTGATCCCTGTCCCATCGATTTTCCCACTTTCCCATGAAATTCGGGGCTTGGACACCAACAAAATAAACAGCAGAGCGCTCTGGAGGTGACTCCCAGCACGGGGGGAGCCCTGGTTCCTGTCACACCCCAATTCCAGCTCTTGTCCCTCCCTGGCACAGCCCTGACCCCGCTGTTCCCTTTGCAGCCGAGTACCAGATCCTGTGTGGGAACCAAGCCCCCGGATTTATCATCGACATCCACACAGGGAAACCCATCGGTGAGTGAGCCCTGCACCCCCCCGGGGCCTCTGCTGCCATCCCAGGGGAGCTGCTTCCCTTTGGGAATCAAAGCTTAGGGCAAGGAGAGGAGGATTGGCAGTGCCAGGGCTGGCAGAGGTGGGAGATGAGCGAATCTCCTTTTCCTGGGGGGAAAGTGCAGCAGAGGGAATTGGTGCTTGCACCCCAGAGCCATCCCAATATCCCAGTGACCCCCTGGGCTCCCCATTCCCAGCCTGCTCCCAGAGCTGAGCTGTGTCCCTGTTACTGGGAGCAGGCAGGGGGGATGTCCTGGGTTGGAGCCTTCCCAAAATGTGTCAGCAAAACTCGTGTGGCTCTGCTGCGTTCCCAAAATCCTGTGGAGCTGTGACCTGCAGGCTTCACTCTCGATATCCAAGGGTTGCTTTCCTGGCAGCCCTTTCCCACTGATCCTGTTGGGAATGGGAATGGGCAGCGTCCTCCAGCA